TAATAATAATAATAATAATAATAATAATAATAATAATAATAATAATAATAATAATAATAATAATAATAATAATAATAATAAAATAATAATAACAACAATAATTGTAATGATAATAACAATAATAATCTCCAATAATCCTTTAATAATAATAGTTCCTTTCTTTTAATTCGCAAAATTTGACCACAGAAGCAACCAGCAAGTTTTTTTGTTGGAAAGATTTAAAATATTAAAAAAACCTTACATTACTGAAATATTGCTGAAGTCGAATCCAACATTTGTCGTCCAGGTGCGACGTATCAGCTACAATCAAGCATGCAGTACTTTGTCCAATCCATGGATGCTTGCAGAAAGCTTCATATGACAAATGGAAAATAGTATGAGTATCAGATGGTAACATCGTACTAAGAGTTTCTGAGATACGACTGAATAGATCATCATTGTCACCAGTAAATACCAAAATCTACAAGCGAAAAAGAGCTTAAACAAACATTTGCAATACTGATAGTATCACTGCAAATGCTCACGAAGGTTTCATACTCGGAATTCATGATTTTCTATCTGAAAATTTCCTTTCAGTTTCTGCACAATAATTTATGTAATTATTGAATACATGCATAAATCTCATTTAAAAATATACAAATAATAAAAGAATATAATTAGTAGAATGAAAAGATTTTAAAATTAAATTTTTAAATCTTCTTTAGTCATTACAAAATTCAGGATTCAAGAATTCTCTCAGATAATTAATTATAGGAAAAAACAGCATGTCCATCAACAAAATGATATTAAGAAAAATTTTCACCATTAAAGGTTTCGCAAGAAATTTTCCACTATCTGTTGTGGTGTGCAAATGAGAACCACTGAAAATTCGAAACATTTCTTTATCCAGTAACTTTGATTGTTCTTCCGGAATCCGGAGTAAAGATGAGAGTAAAATCGATGTAGAATCAGGGGAGATTTTGTAAGAGTCTGAAAAAAAAAGAATAGAAATTTATTCAAGAATAATATAATGATAAAGAAAGTACACAGTTTTTGAAATTAAAACCATGAATCAAACGCTGCAAACCGACATTAAACTTCTCGAGAACAAAAGACAGTAGTGCTCATAAAAAGTGATAAGAACAAGTAAAGAAGAAATCAACAAAGGGTGATTAAGGTGAAAGTGATAAGAGAGAAACATCATACCATCTAACTGTAAAATTATTTTAGTTTTAAATTTTAGAACTTAAGAAACAAAACTTTCAATCTTAACCCAAACCATTTGCTTGGAATTCCCTTTTTTTTTCGTTCACTCCATAATTTTCTTTTTACACTAAAGAAAAAAGCAAATGGTGGCAACTTTGAAAATGGTCGATACTTGATCTCATAGCAAACAACTCTTCTTCTTCTCCTTCTCCTCCGCCTCCTCTTCCCCTATCATCTATGATTAAGTTAATAAATCACTTTTATCCAATATTGACAAAGTTGTTTGATTCCAACAAAACAACATAATTTCAGACTTATCACCAGTCATATGATTGAAATTAGTACACATATATTATAGAGGCCTATTAAATGAGCAATAATTTTTCACCATTATTGTGTAACCAATAATAATTTTTTGCTCATCATTCACGAGGAATTATTACCACAAACATATCTTGAAAAATGAGAAAAACAAAATGCATAAGAATGGTAAATTGATATGATGATATTTTCGCTTACCTGTTCTTACTGATATCATTTTACATTCATCCTGAAATTCATGCCATGTTAGAAAAACAAATAAGATCAAATATGAGAGATCTATAACTTGGTATAAGAGAAATGTACAAATTCATTGTTGGTATTTTTCCTTTTGATATCAATAGGGTCAATTTCAATTTAATTGATTTAATCGAATTACCTCAATGATCGAAGTTGATGACTGTGATTTGTTTCCCTCAAAAGTTGTTGAATTTACAATCTTTTTTGAAAATTGCTTATGCTGAGGTTTGTTTATTGATGTAACATTTGCAGTGCTTGAGTCTTGAAATTTCCGAATAACTGACTCTTGATCTGATCGAATTAAAATCTGACTAGGTTCCATCTGAATTTGATATGAGCGACCACTGATCTGACCTGAAGTGATGCGATCCTCGTTCGACTGCAGTTGAATTTGACTCTTTTCATCCTGAATTTGCTCGATTAAAGGATTGTTCATCTCATCTGGAATCGAATAAATGACAATCTGTTTCCCAATATCATATATATTATCATTTGTAAATTTCACAGACAAACTAACGTCATCTTTGCGTACCGAATTGGTATCATCGATGAAAAGTTGACTATTGAATTGTTGCGGAATAATTTCGTCGATGTTTCTGAGAGCGTAGAGTTCGCATGACCATCCATTTTCTGCATTGCTCTTTTTTGGTTATTTGATGAATTCATAGAAGAATATAGAATGTGTTCTTCAACACCAGCAATTCTCGTTTTCTGATCAAATTGTTGAATTTTTGAACGACTGGAAATTAACATCTAATTTAACGAAAATAATCCTAAAATCCATTATTGGTACTATTTGCAGTTTGATCCACTTCATTAGAAAAGCATTCAGGAAAATTTTGATCAAAAGAAAATGCATGCGGACGCGTAAATGTACACATTATAGACACACACGCGCAAAACGCACACACAGACACACACACAGTCAATGTGACATCTGTTTTAGATGATGCCGATAAGTGAGGTAACAGGAAAAAAAAACTTTTAATTAACAAAAAGACAAAAAGATGGACAGTATATTAAAAAAAAGAGAAAATTTCAAAAAGTAAGCTCAAAATAAATTGTTAATTGACGAACACAAAATTTAGAATTTTTTGAAACAAAAAAAATTAGAAAAGTTTTTTTAATCCGCAAATTTTCAAAAAATTTTCATCACAGAGAAAACAAGAAAATTTTTCAAGATAAACATAAGAGTTTTTCAATTTTTTAAATATTTCATGGATTATTCAAAAAAAAAGAGAAAAAGAAAAAAAGAAAAATAGGAACGAAAGAGAAGCGGAAGAAAATTTTGAAAATAAAGTCGACAGGAGTAAGACAGCACGTGAAAGGTAAATTTTCCTCCCACCCTTTTCGATATTATTTTTACACAACAGACAGTTATTATTATTTTCATCTACCCATTATCATTCAATTATTTGCGCAATCTATTTCTATGTCAACATGTCAACATTCAATATGATACGGTTCTACAGTAATATAACCGTAGAAAATCAATAGAAATATATGTAATGTAGGAGAAAAAGAAAAAGAAAAAACGTTGAACCGATTTTTCAACAGATTTCAGACACATTTTCAGACATTTCAATGAAATTTACAAACCTAATCATCATGAACCTATAATCAAAACATACAAATGATTTTGATTTTGTCATAAAATGGATAATAACACTTGTGAAATGTCATCTTTAGCAAGGAATACTATTCCTAAAACCTTTTCAATCTCATTTAAGGAAACATCATCCTCTCTCTCTCACAACTCGACTTAATGATACATGAAATTTTTCATGTAATCTACACAACAAATGAGAAACAACAACATTGATAACCATTTTCTCATCTTATTTTGCTCTTTGAGATATTTGATATAGGTTGGAACAGCATCATTGAGTACTGTTTGAGTTCGTTCAAGTGATACAGAACATTTTCTTGATCGGAATGAATTCGGCTTCTTGATATATCCAAAGCAGTTATTACTGGAAACATCGGCTGGTGATAACCTTAAAATTAATACATTTGAAGGTCAATTCAGATACAATCTTGGTTTTTCAAGTTTATTTTATAAATGACAAGAAAATATTTATACCTTGAAATAAATATTTGAGAGAGAGAGAAAAAAAAACAATGAACTGATTGAAAAATTAGCATAACGATAAATGATGATAAAATGACAACCATTAATATATCCAAAACTACTAATGATTATTTTAAAAATGTCAACAGATTTCGAGTACGAATGACTTTCCTTGCATTATACGGTTTACGTTCTTATTAATTTAAACAACATATGATTAGTTGATGAATCATTGAAATTTCCACCAACCAACTGTAGTCAACGGATCCATAAATTACATGAACATATTTTTGTTTTTGTTTTTGATATTTGATTGGCATATACATCATAACACATCTTATCATCATATCGTACATGATACATCATATTATGCATAATATTCCGCAAAGCATGAAAAAATTTACTGAAAATTAGATGGAGCGGGTAATTCCAGTCGATGATCGTAATGTAACACTGAATCATTGTTAGAAAAGAAGGATAAAGCTGAGGAACCATGAAAATTCCGATAATCATCTTTATCCATAATACAGCTATGTTCTCGTTCATAAAGTAATTCCAATAATGAAAGTGGTTCCAGCGATAAACTGCTACGTGATGAATTTATCCCCCATTCACCACCTAAAAAAATGACTCATTTATCACATAATTTGTTGAAATTTATCCAATATTTGAACATAACTAATTTGTTATGTTATCATTTACGTTATCATCATTACGTGATTTACTAATTGTTCCGTTATCACCTATACTTTTATCATTACGTGATTTATTAATTGTTCCGCTATCACCTATACTTTTATCATTACGTGATTTACTAATTGTTCCGTTATCACCTATATTTTTATCACCACGTGATTTACTAATTGTTCCACTTATACTTGTCATTTATACTTTCATCATTACAAAATGATTTACGAATGATTCATGTCCTTTTCCCGATGTGTATGTAAACCAATTGTTTTGCTACACGACTTATTCAATATATTATTTGTCTAGTAAATGAATATTATTCTTCCTCTCTTTCTAGTCTATATGCGACTATTCCATTCCAACATCGGAAATTCTGATCATTATTGAATTAAATAAAAATTGTGAACAGTAAAATTTGTGGGATTAGCAATAAATCATCAAATTATATTATAAATATCATATAAAAGTGTCACAACAATCTTCTATATTATTAGTTTTTAGTTGAGAAGAAAATAAAAACCTGTCTAATTCCTACTAAATAAATTTTATAAATAAATGAAACTTACAACTAAGAGGAGGTGATATACTCCTTTGTAAACTGTTACTATCATCAGATTGAATGAAAAAACTTTCCGGCAATGTTATCACTGCAAAAATATTATTCATTTTTTTTAAATGCATATTAAAAAAGATTAATTTTTGTTTTAATATTTGCAAAATTTCACTTGTGGAATTATTATTATTATTATTATTATTAATTTGCCATTGGAAAAGGAAACATAACTTTCTCTAAATGTTTTGGCAGAAAAAAAAAATGAAAAAGTTCATCCAATCATTTCATCCATGGAATCATTCATCCATAGAATTACATGCATAAAACATAACCACTATAATTATATTGCAAAAAATTACAATTCAACACATTTTTAACCATCTTTTTAAAATAAACAATACATTCAAACAAAGGTGACAAATATAAATTTAAAAAAAGAAAGAAAAGAAAAACTCTAACTTTCATTAACCTTTCATCATTTTGACAATCGCTTTACCATCAATATCAAACAGTGAATTCTGTGACCATGCAAAAGCAATATCATAAAAATCATATAATGTACATTCATAAAGAATTTCCCACGGACGTCCTCGTCGATGAGCGATTTTATTGCATAAATTACCAATCTAATAATAAAAAGAAAAAAAATATGAAAATTAAAATTTCTAAAATTAACTTCCAATAAAATAAACATTTTACTATCTAAACAAGAACATTATCATCTGCTAAATTTTATCATTTCACATAATTTTAGTAATGATTGTATGAAGATAAACTTCAAGATGAACTTGAACTTACTAACCATCATATGCAAACCGATCAAGGTAATGTTGGAAAAGCTAGCAATACTAGCCTAGGAGCCTAGTTCTCATCCAATGCTAAATATATAAATGTTACTAGAATTGATGATAAATTGAAAGAGAAAATGAGGTATTTTTGCTTGTGTTCGTTTCTTGCAATATTATTCCAGAAGCCTAGTTCTTGTCCAATGTCAAATAGGTAAATGTTACCAGAATTGATGGTAAGTTGGAAGAATGAATGGCTGATTGTTCATCGATGGTATCAAATGAATCAGTAAGCATAATACTATCATCCAATGTTTCATCATATTTATCACATTTCTTATCCAAAAAAGCAATAAAATGAACACGTGGAATAGAACCATGAATTGGCGGCGTAAATATATTCCAATCCATAATATCCAATTGTGGCTTAAAATAACAGAAAAAGAATAGAACCAAAAATTAAAGATTTGAAAGAAATTTTGAAAATTCGAAAATCAATATTCAATATTTTTTTGAAAATTTTCAAAATAATAAAATGAAAATTTTCAAATTTTAAAGAATGTTTTGTTATCAAATTTACATCGAATATCTTCTTTTTTTTTTGAAAATTTTGATATAAATTTAAAATTTTGAATAATATTCCACAATTATATTGGATGTTGTGAAAGTTTTATTCTTGAAAATTAGCATAGGTAATTAATTTTTATAAAGATTATTATTGATTGATGGAAGATATATTCTTTGGTACAAATTATAAGAAGATCAGAAAATATCGTGAGTACAATCGATCAACAGGCTATTCCTCATTATTTTTGCTAACAAGAAAAGTTTGGTGGAATATGTGTAGTGTAATGGGTTGAGTTAAACCGTAGCGTATCGAGTGGAGTTTAATGAATGACCGACCGTCTTCTTCGACCAATGACCATTCATTCTTTATAGAGTGGAAGTTGGTTTACAATAATGCAACATTCGCACATATAAGACTGTATCAGAGGATGAGAAAATTGGATAAATGATTGGTTAAATTAAATCATCGAAACATTTATATTAGTATTATTATTACTTTTGTTTGTATGCAATGAATCATTCATCTAACAAATATTCAAAATTAAACAACCTCTGTAGTACAAAATCCCATTTTAATGAAAATGAATTCTACTTAATTTGAGATATTTCTATAATATACAAATATTTGATTATGCCGACATACTTCTATACTGTAAAAATATTCCGGTTTTCCCGACATTGAATGATTTTACCGATCAGCCATAATTTTTTCCCGATACGAGAAAAAGATTCTCGTAGCTCTACTAATCAAGATTAGGGGAATACATCATGGAGTCTACTTATACCATTCTTTCTAAAAAGTTGTATACAAAATGATCAGATAACTGTCCTTAACAATCTTCGCTTATCAAAATTTCTGAATCTAAACTTCAATTCGATTCTAACTCTATTTTAAATCTAATTTTTATAATCCCACACATAGAATTACTCTTTGAGAAAGCACTCATATAATTTCACTTTTTAATGAGATGAAAAAAAAAAAACTTTGTAAAACAGCTTACAGCATCTAACTGAACAACAAATTCCATTTCCTCGGTACGATAAATTGGTCTTGCAATCAGTTCACCTGGAAGGCACGGTTCACTGCTCGTCTTTCGTAATATGTTCGAAGTACCCGTTAATTTTTCATAACTGAATTGTTTAAATAAGTTAATTAAGTTTATAACATAAAGATTTAATTGAAATATATTAGTTCATCCATAGCTACAAATATTTTTCCCCTTTCAAAACTTCAAAGTTGACTCAATGAGATTTTTGGGCACTTATATGCAACAGAGGAAGTTAATCAAGGAAATAAATGGATGAGAAATCCAAAAAAAAAAGTAATTTCAAAAAGTACATAAGTAAACGGTAAGTTAATAATATGTAGCTTGGTTAATATATCAAGTAAATAAATTTTAAAAGAGATTTCAAAAGAAAAGGTATATAAAGTAAAACTAAATAACTATGTAAAAGAGGAGCAAACAAAGGAAAATAAGAGTTATAAAGATAAATATTCAAAAAGTACTTAAGAAATTTAATAAATAAGTAAATAAATGAATAACAAGCAAAATAAGCATTTAAATGAATTAAAATATCAAAAATCAACTATGAATTAACATACAACCTTATATAAAACAATGAAAATATGACAAACTTACTTCTCTTTATTTCTTGAAAAGCAAGAAAAACAAGGAATTTGTCGACATAAAAGTATCGAATTATGCGAAAGATTCCAAATGAAGTATTCCGATAATACTGATACTAGCCGTTGACGTCGTGCAAATTTCACAGCAGATAACACAAGTGACCATACGAAAAATATCATTAGTTATCCTGAAAATAGTATTAGAAATTTCAAAACTACAGTAATTATTGAAATTATTTTTTTAGAAGTGTACAAAAAAAAAATAATAAAATTAAATCTAAAAAAAAGAATCAGAGCATCAAAAAAAAAAAAGAAACAACAAAACTTTATTGCTATTTGAAAAATTACGCAAAAAAATATTACCGATATTAAAGAATAAAAATAAAAAATTAAAACTTCCACAGTATTTTTCATAATATGAAATTAGCACACTCACAATATCCTGAATAACATGCATATACCTTTAGTGAATATATTGTAATGACTAGTCATTTTATCATATAAATTCAAACAGATACTTAAAAAAAGAAATACGCATTTCATCAACAAAATTGTCAATGCACTCTCATGCTATACTTAACACATATCTAATAACCAATGCTGTAATATATAAAAGTATTTTGGGAGAAAAAAAACAAACACTTTATATAAAGCATATATCTTAAATAAATAGAAAAGATTAAAAAGTTAATTAATTAAACAACAGATGCAAATATTTGATGGGAATGAATATGATGAAGAATGAAAAAAGGGTTGGTTAATTATTATTATTTGAAAAATCACGCAAATATCTCTATTTTACAGATGTCTCCTTATCATTGCATTCATGATCGTATTGCAATTTTCTTGTTGACAATAAAAAAATTCCTAATTATTAAAATTTAAAATATGGAAAATTTGTTACAATGAATTCTCAGGAAATTTCTTAACATCAAATTACAATTTTGCTATTGAAACCAAAAATAACGAAGCTATTTACTAGAAGCAACAAAAAAAAAAGATCATCAAGAGTTCAAACATGATCGATTAATATGTAACAACATCTCGTTTACATATTCGGACATAAACCATGTTTTGACTTTTGAATAATAAAGGTTTGACGTGTTTAATATATTAAATAAGTCTATTTCCTATATGGATATTATTTTTCCAAAATGACTATTCAAAACATTCCAAAAATAATCCAAACAATTCGAAAAGAAACCTGAAGTACAGATTAAAAAAGGTAGATAAAGCAGATAACTTCATTTTGTTGAATACATAAATTGTAAACACTTACAGCTAATGAACAAACAACTCCAGAAGCGAATACCCCGCCGTTCCTATGGCAACATCATTTTATAAACTTATTATTATTTACTTTAAGGTGTCGTTTTTTTTACTAAAAATTGCTGCAATGGTAACTTTCATTTTAACTTTACACTAGGAAAGGTCAGACGACGGATGCAATGAATTCTACAGAGTTCACATGGAATTATAACTTTGTTTTTTTTAAATCTACTTATTTAGTGTCAATCATTTATCCAAATAATTACTTAAAGTTCAAAAACTAAAAGTTCAGTTATCCCTCATTTCATTATGTGAACAGTTCACTGCTTCAGTATCATGCGACTTAATCATCTTCACGTATCTCACATTATTCATAACTGATCACGAAATCATCTTCACGTACCTTACACTATTCATAACTGATCACGAAATCATCTTCACGTACTTTACACCATTAATAACTGATCACAAAATCATTTTCACGTACCTTACAATATTCATAACTGACCACGAAATTATCTTCACGTACCTATGTTATTGATAACTGATCACAAATGAATAGCATGCATGCATTTAGAATAAATGAATTAATGTCTTACTTTTTCTGTATAATTTCACTTCAACAAGGATCCGCAATTGTCACACTTATCATTGATCATTGCTTTTTCCGTTTCGATCACCAAAGATCACGTCTGAAATGGATATAAATTGGTAAATGGTATTAACTCGGTAGGTTAAAAATGAATGACATTGAAACGAAGACATTTGTCTTTGCCAATCTTCGTTTTGTCCATTTTTTCATTTTCGCCCGAAAGTCTCTACGGTAGAGAAAAAAAAAGTTCCTAAATTCGATTTTAATTAACTGACACTTTAAAAATCATAAATTAGCATTTTTTTTCGTAAAACCTCATCGATATTGAAAGTTAAAATAAGTTGATTAACAGGTTAATCCTTAATGTGTATGTAAATTTAATGACAAATTTACGTTTTCGTTTTTAGAAACAGTATTCACTTATCAATTTAATCATTAGTTTCACATGATATACAATATGGAATGACATGATAAAGTGATAAATATTTCTACCTTACACAATGTAACCTCCTAATAAGGTGATAAATATTTCTATCTTACACAATTTAACCTCCTCATTAGCGTATCAGTGGAAACTTTATAACCTGAATACTTTGTAACTTTTATTTGCAACCGGAATTTCAAAACCTGAATAACTTTCTTTTTTTTTTATAACCGAAATTTTATAACTTGATCATAATCTAAATTCCCTTGTGAATGGTATTATCCATGGAATTACATCGTTGAAGAAAATTTTGAAGAGAATGATGAAGTGAATTTGTTGCAAGGAATTTGAGGATGAAAAATTTAATTTATGTTACTTGACAACTATGAACGTTACAAGTATTTGTTTTTCTTTTTTTTTGTTAAAAAAATTCTTTACGAAAGAGAGGTAAGGGAACGGAAGATTCAAATTTAGTAATCAATTTAGTAATAAAAGTATTCAAATTTAGTAATCTGAAATTTAGTAATCAAAGAAAAGTTGAAAATCATAACAAAATTCAGATTTTATAGCCTAAATTTCTAACAGGAAGTATTTTCCGGAGGTAGTAAATTTATTATTTTTAATCCAATCCCATTTAAAATTGGAAAAATATTTTGCGGAAGAAAGCAAAGAAAAAGGAAAATTCCAATACCTGAAATTCCTTTATTAAAACAAAGTTGAAAATCATCACAAAACTAATGGGTGATTTTCGGGTGGTAGTAAATTTATTATTAATTGATAGTTTCGAAATATCAGATAGCAATGACTATTGATGGAAAAAAATTTTTTATCCCTGAATTAAGTTAATATCACATGAAAATATTAATTTGATCCAATATATTCATAAAATTTTTGATTAATGTTAACAAATAAATGGATGTTTCTAACTTGGAAAGACATCGAGAAAAAAAATTGGAATCAAGTCTTTTTTTTTCTTTTTAAAGAGTCTAGGCTTTTTTTTTGCAAGCCTATTCGGAAAGAAGACAGAAAAAGAGAGGGAAAAAGAAAGGAAGCAAAAATAAGAAAGGGGGCTTTAAAATTTGATCAATATTTCAATTTTCCTTTTTTTCTTCCAAAAGAAGAAAATGATCTCTAACCATTGAAAAAAGAAAAAAGAAAAAAAAAAAACTGAACGAAGAATGTGTAAGAAATATGAAAAAGAATTTTAAAAAAGTAAAAAACAAATAAATTTTAGATGAAATTTTACCAACTTTCCAGATTAAAGAAAAAAAAATTATTAAATTCAAAAAATCTAAAATTATCCAAACCTAAATTCCATTGAACAACAATTATCAATTATTGTAATTCGATTAAAAAATTATCAATTATTGTAGTTCGATTAAAAAATTTCATAAGTGAAATAAATTTAATTATTCATAAATTTCATAATATGCTTATATTATGCAAATTCTTTTTTTTTTTCTTTGCAAAATAATTTATATGTAAGATAATAACAATGAATAAAATTAGCAATAATTCAAGCGAACATCAATCATTAATTTCTGTAAGTCAAAAGAAAAAAAAAAATTGTAAAAATTTCTTTTGACAATTAATTTTTTGATTTTTATTTTTTTCATTTTTTTTAAAAATAAAATACGTAACAAATAAAACAAGAATTTTAGAAATTATTCACTATTTCTTTACTTTTTTGAAAATTATTTACTAATTACTAATTGATTGATTTTATGATACTTTTCCAAATTACTACCGTTTTTTTTTCCTTTTTTTTTTTGTAGTTGAAGTAAAATCTCTTTTTCTTTTCTCCCTTTTTATTTATTTTATTTTCATTTTAAATGCAAACTTTTTTTTTCTTCAATCTTATGAAAGTAATCGTTCATTTCCCCAATGATTAAAAATTTATCGCTCTATAAAATTAACTTTTTTTTCCCCTCCCCTGAAACTCCACTTTATTCCTTCTTTTCTTACATTTCTCATCTAATCAACAGATTCAATTTATCTATCTCTTATAATTTTTGTTTCAAATATGTTTCTAAAGTTAATTAGTCTTAAAATAGATCATTGATCTTTCCTTTTTTTTTTTCGTTAATACATGCTATTCTTAGGTTGAACATATGTAACGACAAAACGATAAAGTAATATAAGCGTTAAATGATGTGAGATAAAGGAAATGTAATATGAATGTGTAGAAGAAAATGAAAATCTTGCATACATCATAATTTAATGTGAAAGAAAAAGAAAATTTAAAGTTAATTACTTTATCAAGAGATTAATTAACAAAGGATTCGTCGAAGTTATAATTAGCATAAGTAAGCTAAAATTAAATAATATGACCAAAGTCTCTCACAATTTATCTAATCCCCGTTTTTTTTTTGTGACAGGGAAAAATTATAACTAGCAAAATGGTGCTTAAAATTACAAGATGCACCTGTAAAGCAGAAATCATATAATATTAAAATTACTATTTCTGAGAAAGAGCAAAGGAAAGAATACAAATTCAAAAGGAAATTATACCAAAATTTAATTACTCGAAACTTTATGCAAAACTAACCTTTCCATAGTCTTTGTTCTATGCTATGCAATCTTGTTTTGGATGTACCAATGATGAAATTTCAATTTAATTCCAAAGAAACAATAAACATTTTATGATTTGGAATCATTACGTTTTATTTAAGTGCTCCCATTATCTGATGCCACTTTCCCTACAATTCTTTTACATTTTTGTTGATGATGAATTATCAGAGAACATGAAAAAAATACGTGAAACATTAAACGTGCGAAAAACTGACCTATGTTAAATAACTAGAATGGAATTTTTTGTGTGCAAGAAATTCAAGTTTTATTGGTTTATGAAACCATTGTTGATTTTTCGATGATTTCAATATAATGTATTTTACTACACAATACAACTTAATAACTTGAGCAACATAAAAAGCGAAGAATTAATAATTTGAATGATATAAAAAAACAAAAAACCTGATAACTCAAACAATGGTAAAAGCAAAAGCAACAAAAAGATCAACAATAAAATTCCATGAAAAAGAGAATTCTAGAAAATCCAACACAAATGACTTTTTGACTGCTTCTCAAAATAGCAATCAACAATTTCTATATTTTCCATTATACAAACAGCAGAAAGGATGTGATTTCTTGATATTACTCCGACTTCCACTCGACAAGAACGTATAATCAAGATCAAAAGTTGAATGTGACAGCACACAACCATCTGCTTTAGATAATAATATATTCTTAACTAAAAACCTTCATTAAGGTCTTCCTTGATTTCTTTTTCGTTTTCTTCCCTAATTCTGAAAAATCGGCAAATAGCTTCACTTCCGATTGTTCTTCCACTTCTTTTTGGAAAAGTCTCAAAGCCGCCAGATTGAAACCACATATATCCTAGAAATTGATGATTTTGATCAAATAAATTTTTAACGAATCGATGGTCGTTTTCAGTCAGTCATAATTATCACGTCGATCACTTCCTCATAAACACGATTACGAAAATTTATGATCGCATAGTTGAGGATGGATAAAAAAGAAATAGCACAAAAGTTTCACCGCTTTGATGTCATTATACAGCTCTTAAATATATCACATGAATATATACCTCAATGTATGCCTTTAAAATTACCAAAGAGTAAAATTAACCCGTAAATCATCCAATCCACGCGGAACCTCCCGACATAAATCATCGAACAGCGTTATGAAATCAGTCTGTGTTATGAGATGACTGTGATGAATTCTGGAAAATGAAAAAAAGGAGATAGAACTTTGGAGAAACTCAAAAATAAACGCGTTAAGCATTTTAAGAAATAATTAACTGATAACTTCGCAATTTTAAACAATTTAAATTCCAAACTCAGAAAACTGAATAATTGCGACATCCTGATATTTATTTCTATATGTAGAATGGTAAATTAAAACAAACAAAAAAAAAGTCTGACAGGCAAATTGGAAATCTCACTTCACAATGAAAAGTAGAACACGTGATGCCAGTTCTGCTTTATAACGTTTTCCAATGCAAACACCTAATGCCTTGATAATATCCGGAACAAAACCGAACGGAACCATTAATAAGCTTTTTTCCAAATGACTAAAAAGCAAATAAGGAAAAAAATCCCCAACAGTTTGGAAATAAAGAAACCGGGAAAAATTAAACCAACCTGGATGGTACTCGTTGAATCACATCAAGTATAAAGTGGTCAAGCGATACGCTTTGAAAATATAGTACCAACGGATGCTTTTCATGCTGCAAAAATAACAAAGCTGTAAAAGAAAACTAATAAATCCTTTCCAAAAATATACGAAAGGTGACTAGATATCAGGTACAAATTACTGGTACGAAAGTCACCTTTGGGTCATCCAACATAGCTGCCCTCTCATTTCGCGCAATCTCTAACGCTTCAATAATATCTTCAGCCTAAAAACATTCAATTTAACGAAAAGAAGTGCTGATCGAACATAAGGTACTCCTCCTCTCAGGTGAAAAAAAGGATTTGTTCATATTAAATTAAACATAAATATTTTACGCAATGGAAAAAAGCTACTAATTACGTTTGGCATACAGCAAAGCAAATCCTCGAAAATTTTACACATACTATGAATAGAATATCACATGTTGCCGAACTAAGACTAAATGATTTATGGAGTGGTCGCAATAAACAATGAGTTAGAACAACTTGAAGGATCGATTTAGATCCGTCTTCATGAAGCTTATGTATAAATGTCATTCTTTTCTTTTAACCATGACAATTAAACGGAATTGACCGATTTAATGCTTGAAATGCTTTTCTGAACAGCTATTTCGGCTTCATTAGTTTTTTCTTCACCAGGCACAACATCATCTAGTTGGATCAGACGCTTTTCGTATTCCTTTTCTCGCTCCATTGCTTCTTCTTCTTGCAGAACAATGATTTCTTCTGTCAGTTCCCATAAACGGATTGATTTGTCATGTGAGGAAGAAATCTATGGTAGAAAAATTCAGAATTCAAAATTTAAATTTCACATTATTATCTTTAAAACGAGATTTTCAAAAGATTCGTTAAATCGAAATTTAGATTTGTAATTTTGATTTTCCCTGATTACGACTAAGAACTTACAACACATTTTCCATTACTGCTTTGTGCAAGAGCTCGAATTTCGGCTGAGTGTAAATTTAAGACCTGAATCCGCTCAAACTTCACTGCATCCCACTGCTTAATCAAACCGTCTTTACCGGCAGACCACAGCAAATGTTCCTCTGGTGAAAACAAAACGCAAGTCACGCTGGAAACCATTACAGGTAACACCAATTAGTTTACGCATTCAGGTGCGAGGTTAAATTTTAGAAAAAAACCGGAAAGAAACCAATGACCAAAGCAAAATTACATGTCATCGTGCGCATGAAAAGACTTGTGACAATCCCCAAAGTCTAGTCCCCATATCTTGACGCTTTTATCGGCTGATCCAGTAGCAACTAATTTATTATCCTAAAAAGGATGAATTTATAATGTTAACGTTCAAGAACTCGCTTAAATACAAGACAATTAATGCGACTACAAAATAATGAAAAAACTGAGAAAAGTTGAAAAACTAAAATGAATACTTTACTGCAGCGTAGTTCTCAGAAAAATAGTACGAATGTTTTGAACGCAGAACTTACAAATATATAAAAAATTCTCGTTTACTAGTCTTGAAGTTTAAATTTCGATGAAGAAACATACATGTGAAATATGAATGGCTGTCACAGGGAGTGAATGTCCATAAAGTGAAACGAAAAATTTAAGAGTATCCACGAAATAAACGCAAGCCGTGTTGTCCAGAAGCCCCACAGCAAGAAAACGCGAATCATTACTAGCAGCAACACACAACGCTTCATCTGGTACTTGAAGCACCCGAAATGGCCTCATTGATAGGCGCTTTCTGAAGATTTTATTCACAGTATTTTGATGAAATTCAGAGTGTCACGTAGTAATATCCTCTTACGATGATTGCAGAAAGTACAATATCTAAATATGATCCACACTCCAATTATTCATTTGTAGGATTTGTATATTTCCCTCTAAAACATGATAATAATAACACCCCAAAAAATACCATACCTCGTCCCTTCACTCACTAATTCGTAGTTCCAAAATCGAACCGTCTTATCATTACCACAGGAGATAAAACCCTTCTGAAATTGGAATAAATTTCGAAAATATACAAAAAGTACCATAATTTAATTTCTGATTTTTCTTACGTTTAAATAAAGAAAACAATTTAATTTTCTTTACGTTTAAGTGAGCTTCAGAACTTTAAAATTATAAATCAGTCGAAATTTTGTACCTTATCAGGTGTTGGAATGAGCTGCCAAATAGCCCCATCATGAACTTTCTTAACCATTTCGAGCATTTCATTTGTTGCCAGTTCAAACAGAAATATGCTGCCCTCCTTAAGATAATTGGGAAATTGAACGTATGAACAAGATTTTGTGCAAAAACGAACAACAAAAACCACACGATTTCAAGTTATCAAACGTAAATTAACTTACCTTTGTCGCTAAAATAATATGTTTATCGCCTGTAACAAACAGTGACGCAGTGATGTCTGCCATTTGTTCATCTTCTAACGTGTGCGAAATCTGCAAAATAACGAACCGATCCAAGTTTAAATTTAAAATTAAAAGTACATTTAGTTCCGTCAAATCTGCACAGTATCTCGAAAAATTTAAAATTCAAGTTGTTGCAAAAAAATTAAATTTGTTTAGGAGTTTCGAAAACCAAGAAAAATAAACGTTCGCACCTTGAGACTATGCAAATTCCATACGATAGCAGATTCTGCACTTCCTGACACAAAACCGAACCCATTTTCTGCAACCGCTAAACATCGAACATCTGTGCGATGACCTAACTAAAATGTGGAAATAAATTACTGCCGTAAAAAAAAGTGGAATTAAAATCTTGAAAGTTATCAGAAAACGAAGTCACGATCTGCTAGTGATTGTAGGTACTGCTAACCCGATTTAAGTCAGCCAAATCAGTAAATTGCACTTCATTTGATTTGAAATCGACCAAGACTGCTTCAGAGAAAACTGTATTCGCTGCGTAGAGCACATAAAACTAAATCGAAAGAATCAAATCTAGTTTTATACAATATTTGTCTTAACATCACAGAATAGTAAACAACCATTTGACTCAAATTTGAATGCGATAATATGCGAGTGGTTAAGAGAGCGGGTTGAAACTGAAGCAAAAGATATCCAAGAAAGAAAACATGACATAGCCACGTAAAGTGGCAGTAGCAACAGCGTCGGCATCGGATTGAAGGCCGATAGGAAATCTTATCACTTCATCGTTTCTTTTTTTAAAACTATATACTGCTTGAAGTAATCCAGCAACAGGCTTTTTCTTACCGAAAACTGAAGTCACACGGATATAATTTGAAGCCTTTATTTTCATGAACTTATTTAGGCACAAATACTTGTTAATGCAACAGCAGATAAATAAGCACTTCCCAATAACAAAAGCATAACGAACCTGATATTGACGTACTTCATCTCCACACTGTTTCACACCTGAGCTGAAATCAACCCACTTCACTTTCCCACTGGGTTTGTACTCACCTATCCGTGAGATCAAAATGGTGACATCTTTTGCGATATCTGTTTCCGAAATCGTTTCCGCGTCACCACTGCAACTGCTAATCAATAGTTTGCCATCTTCACTGATACAAATTTCTTACCGTTACTAATAACAATATAATACAAAAGAAAAAAAATCTGAAAATGTCAGGTAGAAATACCTTTCAGTTGACTTTTTACGAGCCTTCCGAAGTTTCTTCATAAGTCGCTTTTGTGATTCATTATCATCATATATCCGGAAGATATCAACACAATGTGACGAACCCTGAACAATTCCTCGCTCAATTTGTTTATGAAATATCAAAAAAATTTAAAATTCCAGTTTTTAAAAATACTATTACTGAAAATTCAAAATCGAACAAAAGACAGCAATCTTCCCATAGGCAAATAAATTATTTGCAATGGATACAAATTGCGAGAAAAATAAACTGTAACATACTTTTCTAACCACAGCAATTTTCAATCTTTTTCAAGCCATAACTACGGACAAAAATTTCTGTCTCACCCATTTCTTTGAATAGCAAGAAAAGACCAGAAAAAAAAAAAGAAAAATGTCACAGATTACACCTTTCTCCCATTGAAATTACTCCAATTTAACAAAGGATTAGTATAAGAACTTCAGCAGAAAAAGTCGATTGCACAAACTTACCACACATGCAATAAGTTTCTCATCTCGGCTAACAGCAAGTTGAAGAGCGCGTCCTTTAGAGCGTCTCAAAATCTGTCCCTTTTTCACACAACGCACAATTTTCTGAAAGAACAAAACCATAGAAAATTTTTTACAAACTTGAAAATCTCCGAGAATTTTCAAAAGAAATCAAAGTACTTGCCATTAGTATTATTTCCTCATTGGAAATTTTCCCACTTTAAACCTTAAAAATACTCACATTTGCCTGCGTATCCTCACTAAATTCAACAGAGTTTTCACCGGCTTTTGATTTTTTCGTCGAGTTACCGTCTTCATCATCCACCTCCTCTTTTTCAAGCCAGTGAAGTTCAAAGACTCGTAGTTCCAACTCTGCGGATCCAAGCAGTAAGAAACTATCATTTTTGAGCAGTGAAAACGTATAAACCTTCAAACACAAAAGAGTAAAGCAAGTAGAAATTAACAAAAATTATTATTCCCTTACTGAAAGAAAGAAAACGATATGGTGCATGTTCGTCATTTCATCCAATTCGTTAGTTTCAGTTCTTTATTAGCCCATTTTCGGCTTCTCTTTCAAACTTAATATTGTTAGAACGAGAAAAAGAAAATAATCGAAACAAATATTAAGTCTAAAACTAAAATTGGTACCTCAGAATGGCTATCTGTGATGGTGAAAAAACAACTTTTCGTATCTAAACTCCAGAACTTCACATACGTATCTTTCGAGCTAAAAAAAACACAATATTAAAAAAAAAATACAACAACAGGTGCGCTACACAAAATCCTAACACTTACTCTTGAATGTTTTAGAAAATAATGCTCTGCAGTGTGGGATAAAAAGACGACAAAATACCTGCTAATAAGAAACCGTCCATTTAATGTAAACTGTAATTGTGTAACCGAATTTTTGTGCCCATTTAAACGGAATAAACCAGATTCATTTACGACATCCCAAATTACCACCGCGGAATCCTGTAATTACAAGACAGTGAAGTGAATAAATAATATAAGTTAATCTGAAAAATCCCTAAAATGCCCTTTCTAAAGCCGTCCGAGTTACAAATATGAAATCACAGGCATTCCAAAAAGCTAAAGACCGAAACATAGTGAGTGGAAATCTGGACTTGAATTTCAGAATTTAAGCTAAAACTCATGTTTTCTGTTATTAGGAAAAAATTTTAATCCAGCAACTACGGGGAACAAATTATATCAAACGACCAATGGCTGTAATTACATGCATGTATAACTACAGGAACAGAATTATAATGGTGTAAGGATTTTCATCACTCGTATGGAATTTCAGGAAACTTAAAAATCCAGAAAATACCTTTCCACCAGTTGCCAGTGTCATACCATCTTTAGTAAATGCAATGCAATTCACACCTGTTCTGTGTCCAGCAAATGTGACATACAATGATCGATCTAAATTTTGGAAAGGAATTCAAATTTATTTGACATGATTTTTCTGAAGAGATATTTCTCAACTAGTGCTAAATACTTACAAATGCGATTTCTTATTACTCCATAAAATGGAGAAATTTTCCGGTCACATGAGAATACTCTTTCGAACAGCCTAATGCCCTATTGAATTCATAGGAGTATTTGGAGAAGAGAAGCATAACAAAGATATTTACGGAATAGACGCTAATCTTATTCAAGGAGACTAAAAACCTGAATAAATCCTTTTCATGGTTAAAATATTAGTACTACATCAAAATAAATGATTTCAAACCATCGCTTTTCCGATCGTACAACCGAACTGTTCCATCCACATATCCAACAGCAAGGAATCGTCGATTCCCACTGAATTTAATAGTTGAAACACACTTATCTGACCCTCTGACCTCATCAACCTGAAAGTCGGAATTCCTGGACCAGTCTTTTATAAGCTCTAAATCAAATATTCAAATGGCCAAAAAAGTTTAAAACCTGTGTTCAAAGTTTCACACTCAAACAATTAAAAAAGTCCCAACCTTTTTTTCTTACTTCAAATAGTAAACGGGCGCTACCTGGAAGAGGAAACTAGCCAACTTGACGGTTCCTGAACTGTTCTAATTTTCTCCAGTTTTGTGAAGCACAGTCTATATAAACTATTTATATCTACAAAATTTTAAACCTATATAGAAGAAATTTTTGGCTAAGAAGAAATAATTTAAAGCTCAATTATTTGCATTAATTTTCCATAGTGCCATTTCATAAATGTGCACAGTTTACTCGAATTCTGATGCAGTTTTAGAAAACCTCGACTTATTTATCAAAACTAATTCTGATAGTAAGGTTAATAAGGGCAAGACTAACCTTTTCGCCCAATTTCATGTTATAAAAGTGAACATTTTCACATGCTGACACAGCACAAATATTATCAGTAATAGCGGCAACAGTCCCACTGCTGGATGCTACCACGTTACAGGTACCGTCGTGTTTATATCGCAAATACTGCTTGGTGAGTCCCATTCCTGCAAATCATTTAATCGATTATATGGTTGAT